TAGTGTCAACATGCTTTCTAGATCACCTTTTAATTTATCCAAGATATCATCCTTTCGCTTTTCGGAACCTATTGCTCAGCTTGTTTATCCTCTTATAATGCTCTGTAGAACTGTAGATTCCTATATATTCATTTATTTCTTGCAGCAGCTTTTCTGTGCACTATATCTTGGATAATGTTCAGTTGAATCAGTATGTCTGCAAAGAAGCAAGTTATATTTCTCTGTCCTTTGCATTGTTAATTTCTTTCTCCTTTGATTTGCAAAGCATTTTTCTTTTGGTTATCTTGGTAGTTCTGTCATAGCATTAGAGTTTCTAAACCTTTACCTGTATCCAATTGGCTCCAACAATATCTGATTTTGTAATTCAACTCCTCTTGTACAGAAATGAGCACCATCAAGCAAATTGAATTCATGGCTAGTACATCATATCGAAGATTAAGTTGTAAAACATAAAAACATATGAAATCTCCTTCCACGTCTGATGATTTATTAACTTCTTGGAGTCTACTAGTATACTCAACTATGGTCTTTACATCTTCTTGAAATATTTGAAGTCTTTGTAAAACTTAGTAGGCTTTTTGTCTTTTATTCTAACTGTCTCTATCCACTATGTATCTGTATAACCTTTTAAGTTTTTCAGCCCAGAATTAACAAGAGGAGTTCATCGATTTTTTCATATATCATTCTTTGATTTCCTTTTCAACATAAATTTGAGTAGTTTAGACATTCATGCCTACCTGATTCACAGTTAAACTAAAACAGTTTAACTTGTGAAGATCTTAAGCATTTGTGGTCACCTTTCACCATGCCCAATGTACATCCGTTGAATTTTTTAATTCAACTCCTAAAAGAGGCTTATAATCTCTTTTAAACTTTTACTCTAGTTTTTACATTTTAAAATTTATCAGAATCCAAAATTTATCTGGTATAACCAAGATAAGGATTGCCGCATGAGCTTATTTGTGCGCTTGCCATGTCAGACTATTTGCCTTGTTAGCTTAGTTGGGCATCAGACACCTGGCTCCAAAAGCTATCACTCATGTTGAGTAACTAAAAGCGAAGCTAATCAAGAGCCTTATAAACGACTGACAAATATCTCACAACCGGTGTGGGATAGTTTCATTACATTATTGTATTCATCTTAAACCATCTGTATTTAAGAAAAAACAGTGCAAAATTTTGTCAGATCAGAAGACTATGGGGTGAAATGACAAGAGAGACTTTGTTCTCTGCAACGTGATGTTATGATAGATTAAATTTGGCAAAAACTGAATTCAGCTTTTGTATAGAAGGATTAACATGATGTTATATGCATATTTGTTTTATTAAAAAGACTGCAACTATGCTTTGATAAAGACATATAGAGAACTATTTCAAATTGAACCAACAGATTCCTACCCACTAAGGCGCAAAGCTGTATTCTGGCTAAAGCGCAATGCGGGGGCTTCATAGAAGTAAAGCGCACACATAAATAGCTTTTCATATATACCAAAAATCCATTTATTCCAACAAAATTTAGCTCTTCAGTGAAAGTTTCAGAACTAATCACTGAAAACTGTCTAAACAAGCACTTTAAAAATTGACTGTATGTCTCTCTTTTAGAGGTGTTCCAGAAACGTATGCGATCAACTCAATAAATCTATGATGTACATTTGGTCATATAGTGTTCCGTTAGATAGGAACAAAGCTATATGTGCCTTAAAAGCTCAATCAATTGTAATCATAGATTCATTGATGTCCACTTATAACTAGTTAGGCCTTTATGACCCAACTTATGTGGCTCAACAACTGTTGTTTGCTTAGCAAGACTGAACAATTTAACATCCGATTTTAAGATATTGATAATAGCTAATGACGAACATGCCTTCAAGTCACAGCTGGGAACAACATTTCATTTTTTAAGTCTCCTTTTTTCACCCCATTCAGGATTATCAGAGAAGCTACTGTTCCTGATTTCACTATGGTGAACCTCTTTAAATTCAAGTTTTTCCATTGTTGATGGTTGATATGAATATTTTTCTTAATTAATATCTACATCATGTTCCTTTGTTGCTTAACTTGAGGGTTACTTGTTCTAATAGGTTGCTCTTTTGTGGCATTTGAATTGGACAAACTTATTGGTGTACTTTAGTGTTTAGATTGAGCTTTTAACAATGTCAATCTATTTTAAATTTTTGCAGCGTGTTTTATATGTAGACATTGATATCCACCACGGTGATGGTGTTGAGGAAGCATTTTACACTACAGACAGGGTCATGACTGTTTCTTTCCATAAATTTGGAGATTATTTTCCTGGAACAGGAGACATACGCGACATTGGATTTGGAAAGGGTAAATATTACTCTCTTAATGTTCCACTAGATGATGGGATTGATGATGAAAGCTACCAGTCTCTTTTTAAGCCAATAATGGGCAAAGTCATGGAGATTTTTAAGCCTGGTGCTGTAGTATTACAATGTGGTGCGGACTCTCTGTCTGGAGATCGATTAGGCTGCTTCAATCTCTCAATTAAAGGTCATGCAGAGTGTGTTAAGTTTATGCGATCTTTTAATGTGCCATTACTGTTGTTGGGTGGAGGTGGATACACGATACGTAATGTTGCTCGTTGCTGGTGTTATGAGGTAAGCACACATCTTCAGCCAATTACCCTTTTTCTCACAGTTTAAAATGACATGTCACCCCCAGCCCACTTGCTCGCTTTATTGATATTAGCCTTTTTTTAAAGTTGATTAAATGTTTATTATGCAAATTAACAGACAGGTGTAGCACTTGGAATCGAACTTGAAGACAAGATGCCACAACATGAATATTATGAGTACTTTGGGCCAGACTATAGTCTGCATGTTGCTCCAAGTAACATGGAGAATAAGAATTCTCGTCGTTTATTGGAAGAGATTAGATCAAAGCTTCTTGAGTATCTTTCAAGGCTTCAACATGCACCGAGTGTCCAGTTCCAAGAGCGACCACCCGATACTGAACTTGCAGAGGTTTGATTTGCATCAGAGAACCTACTTAATTTTCATGTTGTACCTTTTTAAAGGGAAAATTCTATCCTGGAACCAGTTTGGCCAAATGTGAATACAGCTAAGTTTGGCTGACATGGTGCAGGATAAAATCTCCCTTATTTGATATCTCAATGCACGAGTTGTTTTACACACGAATATCGCTTATTCCAAATATAATTTGTTAATAATCCTTACACGGATATTCATCTTATTGGACTTTCATCCTTTCTGCAAAGTGAAATGATTCTTATGTCAGAGTTCATGATATTCCAAATATAAGATATACTGATATGTGTACCATTGTTCTTAAGTATGTTATTGACTTATTAGTGTACAAGTACCAGAATAAAGGTGTAAATGTTATTTAATTGAAAGAAACAGTTTTAAAATCTGTTAGCTTTTGCTTCATCGTTTCTATAAAAAAAAATTGAGATTTATGCGTCCTTGGCATGAATGCAGGCGGATGAAGATCGTGATGGTGCCGGTGAAGATGAAAGATCTGATCCTGACTCTGACATGGATGTCGATGATGAACGGTACGTACATATATCATTCATTCAGCACTGTCAATCTTACATATCATCATCTGTAATTTTCTGTCCTTGCAGTAAGCAATGGCCTAGCAGAGTGAAAAATGAATTTCTTGAGCCTGAAGCAAAGAACACGGTAACTTGTTAATCTCCCTTTTTATCTTCTTCTTTTAGAGAAAATGATGATCCAGGAGTTTTGGTATCAGTTTTCTATAAATTGAATTTGAATTTAGGATTTCTTTAATTATGATTTAGTTTTTCACTTGTAGTTTCTTTATTGGTAGGCTTTTTTTTCTTTTTTTGAAAAAATAATTTGCAACTAAGGAAATTAACTTCCTATTCCTATTTCAGCTAGTTTTGCAAAATAAAGCCTCTAATGAATGTTTAATCAACCCATCCCACCAAAAAGTTGTGAATAATTTTGAAGGAATAACATAATCAATCATAAAACATGTTTCTTGCAATAGACAAATTTGTAGGTCGGCTGATTAATGATTTTTTTTTTTTTTAATTTTTTATTTCAGGATGACATGAAAGTCGATGAGCATAATAATAGGGAAATGGATCTAAAATGCTCTGAAAATACTACTACTACTACTACTACCCCTTCTTAAAGGTGTGGCTCTATGTTCTAACTTCTAATAGTAAGTCTTTATGGTGTAAACATCTCAATTTTATGAATGTTTTATCCAGTACTGCAGGAAGATGCATATGGATTGGTTACATGTAAATTATGCAAATCATATTTTTGTAGACATATCTGTCTATTTGGGTATTTAGATGTGCAAGTTTTTTGTAGTTGAACTTATTAGTCTCTCTCCAATTAAGTATTTATCTTTTTCCTTTAAAGAAAAAATATGATGCATCTTTACTATTTTCCTCGTCCTTCATCAACCATTTGGGCAACTTTTTTTGGATACAATATGGGATACAATATGGTTGCTTTACATTCTCAAAATATCAATCAATTTTCTTTTCTGCTATCTCTTCTGGTGCCCGTTCAATCAAATTTTAGTCCACGAGCCTCTGTTCTCAACGAACCCTCTCCCAAATTGGCAATATAGTCAGTCAGTCTGAATTTTACTTATTAAAACATAACAGAACATTTAACCCCACTTAAAAAAAGGTAAATAGCAAAATCAAGAAATATGAATTGTTTAATAGGAAGTTAACATATCTGCACCCACACGGATACACATTCCGTACGATAATACATGACATTGATGCTTACAAGTGAATACTATGGAAAATACTACATCTAAAGAGGTCCTAGCATACAATAAGTGCAATTCCTACGGACTTAAGCTAAAAGAACAAAAAAATCACATAATGCTTGATCCTCAATTTTTCTTTATTTGTCTATTTAGTATGGGGACTAGTAGCTACAAAAATTCACATACGGATCGCAATGACAATAACGACGGAACTGCAATAAATTCATCAATTTTTCAGATAAACAACTATTTTCGACCTGTCGGATTCGAACCGACAACCAAAGGGCTTGGCAACCGCACAACCCTTTTACTCTCCCGTTTGAGCTAAGGTCGATCTAGACTGAATACTCTCATCCAAGACTATTTAACGGTAGAAGTCCAATAACACTAACACCTACCTTGTACACAAAACCCTAGAGGCTCAATCGTTTTTGCATTCAAGCACGTGGAATTTGCCTATACTGCAAGCATAGGATAGGCACTAGCGATCAAGGAATCTTGTTTTTGGTTGAACGACTCCAAAATTGAAACAACAATCCCAGAGAGTCGCAACTTACAATCCTACCTTGTTTATCCAACAGAAAGAATCCAGATATTGAAGACATCATAAGACTTTGGTCGTGGTGCGAGGTATCTTCAAACAATAAATGCCAACATATACTATATCAGAATGGAGTTCCTTGATCACTTCTGAACTTCGGTTATGAAACTCCAGTATATAAGTTGGAACTAGGTCTACACTCCAAGAAGATCGATCAAATTGTCTTAAGGTTGTTGATTGAGCACGACCTATCAATATCTAAGCTAGAATTAGTTGATCGGTGGTCGGGTAGTTGTGTAAGTAATTGATGTTTCGGTCAACCCATCCAGGTCTGGACACCAGATATAAGAGACGTCGATCATGTAGTATGCAAAGATCGCGGCAACACCTACTTGATGATCTCACGACCTAGGTCCGATATGGTTGTTTTTTCAAGTAGTCAGTGGACTCGAAGCGTTCAACTCAACATCTGTCTATCAATGTACAAGATAGGAAAATCTATAGCTGCTCTTGTTGGAGCTCGTGTTATATTTAGCAAATAATGTATCAGAGCATCAGAGCACCAGACTACAAGTAATGAGGTCGTTTTTTGGTCGACAACCTTTAGAAGTGTGTTTGAATTCTTTGGGTGGTGCTCAAGCCACTTAAGCTTTCTAATTAGACCTTCATGGATTTTGATCGATCTACCTGGAGGTTTTGTTCAGTGGTGGTGCTTGGGCCGAGTTTCAACCGATTTTCAGCGGTGGCGCTCGAGCCAAGTCATTGTTCTGACTTGTCTTCTAAGGAGTCGTAGATGGTTTCCTAATTCACGAAAATATTAAGTCAGTGGTACATGATTATGGTATATCAAATTGAATCTGAAATTTAAATTTGTTCCAAGGAACTCAAGCTGCACAACTCATAATCTGATTACGTAAGTTGCATCCTCGAATAGTTCCAATGGAGTAGGTATTTATGTTTTACCTAGCATAATTATGGGATACCAATTTTGGGAGTTTGTTAACAATCCACCAACCAATCAAACACCTTTTGACAAAATACATTATGATGTTGCAGTTTCATACCCAAAAATAAAAATTATACTCCGTATCATGTTATCTTTCTTTTACAACCGACGGCTTATAGTTGATAAAGAAAACAAGTCAATAATCTGAACATCAGAAATAACATAATGATATCTTACAAATTATGAAGTTCTGCATTGAATAGATCACTCAACTAGAATCAAATGGACACGAATTATTGTGTAATATAACTTTCTATTTCTTCTGATTCAATGATGAGCTAATTGTTTGGCGATACTTGTTAGGATATCTTTACTTGCTTTGTAAAATTAATTTTGATCATGATTTAAGCTTTTCTGAGCATATAAATTTTAACTTAAACTTGACATATATATTAAAATAATCACGTGCACTCCTAAATTGAGTTATTCAATGCAAAACCCAATAGTTGGTAAAACATCTTGTTCTTTTGAAAAATGCTTCAATAAAAACAAAAAGATCATCATTTAATTTGGAAACCCACCTCTACCTTTCAGCAATCGGCTGTGAAAGAATGATAGCTTGAGATGACATGAACTGCAAAATTGTGCCATACCGTAATAGTATGTCAAAACTTCAATTTTTGTATTAAATATGTTAAAACCACACTAATTCACATGGTGCTTTTTTTTTATATATTTTTATTTTTATTTTTGGTAAAACTACAACCGTGCACTCCTTGTAGCGACTCCACTGCTTATCTTCCGTTTGTGTATTCCTTTTATATACGCTGAATAGGGTTAATTACCCTTGATACTTGTAAACATGTTACTAAAATTCTATCCGTCTCTAATAAAACATCAGGGTCTCATGCTAAAATTGATTAAGTACTTAGAACAAGATAGATAAAGATGGGGACAATTGCATATTTGGTACCATATAATAGGGTACTTTGCAACATTGGTACCGTTTGATACGTAAATGTACATTTAGTACCATAATTTAATTATTTACTGCAATGTTCATACCATCGCCAGCTACTTGGATGGAAATGGACGGAATTGGCCATATGTGGGTGCATGTGGCCATTAACTCGTCTCTTGGAGGAAAAATTATCATGTTATCTAGTCTTTTGAAGGAAAAATGACAATGCTTCTCTCACGTTTTCACGTTATAAAGTGATAAATTTTCCTTCAAAAGATGAGATAATGGTCACGTGTGGTGCAATAGGCCATTATCGCCCACTACCGTCTAATTATTTGAAGGTGGTATGAATATTGCAACCAATATTTAAATTATGGTACTAAATGTGGATTTACGTATTCAGTGGTACCAAAGTTGCAAAGTGTCCTATTGTATAGCACCAAATATGCAATTTTCCCGATAAAGATGTAGAGGACACATACCAGAAAGCATTATTGACATACAATCCACTAAGCATTTTGCTTGTCTACACACTACTTGCCGCTTCTTCCTGTTATGAAAGTGAAAAGGATAAGGAAATAATTGGAATTTGCATTATCCATATAATCTTCAAAATGAAGTTGCTTATCCTTCGAAAATTAATTAAGGAACCAAATGAATATCTACAAGATTAGCATTTACAATGAAAATTGTAGCCAACACTTCCCTATGTGTTGCCCCATTTCATGTTCCCAAGCAACCTATGGGTCACAAAAGTGCATTTAGTTTTTTAGGCATTTGTACTCAGTTTCTTCATCCATGACCCATACTCATTGAGATTAAAAGGTGGCCAGCCATATACATGCAGTCCTATCATCGAACAAAAATCTAAAGCACAGAAAGGAGTGTCTTATAAAGGTTATATTAATTATATTTAATTGAAAATAATCCATTGTTTTGATATCTGAAGCGATGTATACCAAACAAATTTATACACATTTTATCATCATAATACTAAAGATTTAATTCCAACTCCAACACAAGAGAGATGCATACATCCAAAAGCATTATTCCTTTATTAAGGTTAAAGATAGTTATTCTAGTTATTTTTACATTCAAGAAGTACATATGTTCTTGTACTCGTGACAAAATCCCTATAAGATGTGCTGTTTCTATCATGAAATTTTTAAGAACCAAGAGGTATATGAAGAAAAACAACTTGATTTCAGTTCTTAAGAGGAGAAACTCATCTGCAGCTGAAAGATATCTACAAGAATGAATAGGCACATGAAGTTGGGTGAATGCCATTGTCATTGATGCTGACACAAAGCGAAGGGATACCATGACATCAAGTCACATGAATCTTGAAGAGCTTCATACCCTGAAAGAATCTGCAAGTGGAATAAAAAACTGAAATCCATATAGGATATGCATAAGACTAGCATAATTTTTTTAAGTTCACCAAAAACTACCCATAAATTTACATCATTACGGTGCTAAAATTTATTATCGGAGTGCTACAGTAAGTATATACAAAATAGCATGTCAATACATACACAAGGGAATTCCCGTCATATACATTACTGAAACACTAGTGAAGGGGAAATAGCAAAGTCGCCCACACAATCCCCCTCCCCGCAATTAGAGAAATGCAAAAGAGAGAACAAAGAAGTGAATATGGTAATTCCCTTCTACCTCATTCAGTAAGCATTTTCTAGCATATATTTCAGAGGATATTGCACGGCTCCACCTCTGAACATCTAACCTCATAATCTCCATTATGAAAATTTCTAATCAGTTTAAAAACGGATACAATAGGAGGCTTGTAGGCACAGTTACATAAACACTGAGCATTAAGCTTTACATGCATGGTTATTGTCATGACAAGTGTTTTGGATCTTGATTTTGGCATTATAAGAAAATCAGGAATGTGGTAATCTGCTAAAATTGGTCACTGAACTCCATTGTTGGTTCAATATCAACTTGTAAGACATTACAATACAGTCGCAAGAAGCTAGGTAAATATTATGATGGACATGAAACTGAAAACAAAGAAAGTACCAGGGCAAGAGCTGTGACTAAATGGCATCTCTAGTTGAGAACCATCCAGTTCCAAAAAGCCTATGAAAACAGCAGAGAGAGAGAATATGAGGATCAACTTTTAAGTTAATCTAATTAGACACCAGCATTAAAACATACCAGCAAACAAACTCCTCTAACTTCAGTTCAACGATCCGCGACATCTGAAAGAGAAAAGTCGGTATGTTAGCAGTTGAAGAGTGCACATGCACAGACTACAGAGGACCAAAGAGAAAATTTCTGCAGTACATATGTAGAAGTAACCACATTGGTTCAGATATATAGCAATTTGTGCAGTAGATATATAGCAACAAATTTAACTTCAGATTGCACAAGCGAAGCTATTGAACTGATTTCGGGCCAGAAGGCCCAATTTGTTGATTTTCATAAAATTGATGATAATTTGTATGAATTTCAGTTACCTCAACATTTATTAGTTTATCAGAATAAATTTTACTCCTATGGACAAAGACTTACATACATAGCAGGGAGGTGTCTTCCCACTAAAAAGTACATCACCATGATAATACCCTATTTTGCATGATATATGCTTATAAAAACTCACAACACACCTGATAAATATACCTAATACGAAAAATACATTCCATTGTCTTACTAATTTTCTCCCCAAACTTATCAAGCAATCTCAATTAAGGAAAATATGTGACTACGTGCCCAACAATACCAGTTTAAGAGTATGGTTTGGTAGTAGATAATTTTTTTGGGTAATAAAATAATTGAGAGATAAAAGGTACTAAAATTATTGTGAGATAATTTTGTTAGATTTTATGTGAAATAAAAGAATTATATTCGGATAGACAAATATGC